CCCCCCGCCCCCCTCCTCCCCCAGCGGCGGCAGCAGCGGCTACGAGAGCATGCTGCGGGACAGCGAGGCCACGGGCAGCGCCTCCTCCGCCCCCGACTCCACCAGCGAGAGCGGGGCCGCCTCCCCGGGCACCCGCCCCCGCAGCCTCAAGTCGCCCAAGAAGAGGGCCACAGGTGGGTGTTGGGGTGCAGTGCTGCAGACAGCAGAGTGGGATGTGGGGGTGCGGGCCACAGCGGGCCTGCACTGCCCTGCGAGGCTGTGCACAGTGCTCCGGGGCCTCTCAGACCTGCATGCTCGCCATGTTCCCGAGCGTGCCCAGCACCTGTCCCCCCTGGTCCCCATGCGCCCTGGAAGCAGGACTGGGGGACGAAGGGGCCTGGAGACCTGGCTTGGGCCTCACCTTCTCTGTCCCTGGGCAGTGGGAAGGGAGAGTGGGCAGCTGTTGGGGCCAGAGGAGCTGGCACTGGGGAAGGCTGGGGGGGGCGTTCTGGGGGGACTGGCTGTGTCTGACTGTGAAGGGCAGCCCCATTCTCTGCTCGAATCTTGTCTGCCCTGGTGGGGTGGCCAGGGGCAGGCTGGGCCGTCAGGGCCCCCGGTGTGCCCCTCAGCCCCGGGCCAGGCTCCGGCCCCGCCTCTGCCCACCCATTGCCTGGCTCTCTACCCCAGGGCTGCAGCGGCGACGGCTGATCCCTGCACCACTGCCTGACGCCACTGTCCTGGGCCGCAAGCCCAGCCTCTCCGGGCAGTGGGTGGACCTGCCCCCGCCCCTGGCCGGCTCGCTGAAGGAGCCCTTCGAGATCAAGGTGTACGAGATTGACGACGTGGCGCGCCTGCAGCGGCACCGGCCGCCCCTGCGTGAGGAGCCGGCAGAGGTCAGGCCTGTGGGGCTGAGGGTAGGAGGCCCACTGGGGACACCCCAGGGCACAGTGAGCGCCTGACCTCGCCTTCTCTTGGCCCGCAGGTCCCCCTGGGTGTGGAGAAGGTAGGAACCTGCCCTCCCTGCCCAGTCTGGGCAGCCCCGTCCCTGGGGCAGGGCAGGGGGCTGGAGGCTGTCCCGAGCCCTGGATCTGGAGGAGCACTGGGTGTGCCCCAGCACCTGGCCCGTCACCAGCTTCCCTCTGAGGTCCCACTGGTAGGGGAGGGCATGCTGGGAATCCCTGGAGGGGTCATGGCCACAGGGTGCCATGTCCTCTGGCTGAGCCCAATGGCTCTGCTGCCAGGGCCCGGAGTGCGTGGGTGCTGAGCTGCGGCTGGCGGGGCGCAGGCTGCAGCGACTGCGGGAGGTGCAGGCTGAGCACAACCGCCTCCGCGAGGAGCTGGCGGAGACCCAGGGCCGGCTGATGGTGGAACCCGGCCGCTGGCTGGAGCAGTGTGAGTGCCCGTCCAGACCCTGCCCTGGCACACTCCCCTGTGCCCTGCCCACCGCGCTCTGCAGCTCTCACGTGACGTGTGGCTAGCCGGCACCTTGGCCCTGCAGGGACTCGGACACGGGGGGAGTCATCGGGGCAGGCTGCTGTCCCCACCCTGGGCCTGACTCCGGCATCCATTGCCCCTCCGCTCCCCAGTCGAAGTGGACCCGGAGCTGGAGCCCGAGTCGGCCGAGTACCTGGCGGCTCTGGAGCGGGCCACAGCCGCCCTGGAGCAGTGCGTGAACCTGTGCAAAGCCCGCGTCATGATGATCACCTGCTTCGACGTCGGCGTCGCGGCCGCCATCCCAGCGCCCCAGGAGGTGGACGTCTGAGGCTGAGCACAGGCCGCTGCGGCGAGGCTGTGCCGGGGCGAGGACGGACGTGGGGTAGGGACGTGGGGTAGGCTGTGCCGGGTCTCGGAGGGGCCGTGGTGCGTGGGGAGGGCGGGCTGCAGGGCGAGGTGGCGTGCCGACGCAGCGAAGTGCCTTTCCCGCGGTTTGGACTGTTGCCTTTACACCTGTGCTACAGGCCCCGCTCCAGCAGACCGCGCAAGGGCCCTGGCCGGGAGGGTCCCGGAGTGCCTTTTCCCCTAGTGGTGGCCTCCGGACCTGCAGCCTGGGCAGTCCGGGCGGGGCGCCTGACCCGGGCCCCCCCTCCTGAGGACACCGAGGCAGTCGGTGCCTTCTTCACGGCAGGAATTTTGACCAAAACCATGAGCAAAAACAAAGCACTGCCAACCACAGACGGGAGTTTGGGATTCGGGAAGGTCCTGTTTGTATTTTTGTATCATTTTTCCTAAAAACGTGGAATTTGCAATGGGAATTTGAAGACAAATGAGCTGTTTTATGGTTTTCTGTGGATGCTGTCTGTCCAGCTGCCGGAGACAGGCTTTTTTCTGGGAACACCAGGCAGGGCTGGAGCTGCTGCTTGTCAAACGCAGGGGAGGGGCGCGCCTTCCCCGCTGCGCTGCCCTGCCGCAGACTGGTGCCCTTGGCCGCGTATTCCCTGGGTGTCCACACGCCTGTCCAGGAGCACACCACCTGCCGCAGCTCACTTGTGAATAAAGGGCGTGCTGGCTCTCCGCGGCTCAGAGCTCCCTGAGTGTCCCTGAGCCCGCCCCGCTGTCCCGAGGGTCCCTGGGGTGGGGAGGAGGCGGAGACAGGGCTGCTGGGACGGAGGGGCTGTGTGCCCTCTGCGGCAGTCCCTACCAGGACCGCTGTGATGAGGGGGGCAGCGCAGGTGGGACGCTCAGGGCTGGGGGGCACGCCATTCCCTCCCGCACCCTCTGTTTTCTTGGGTCCACCAGATTTGGGGTCCTGGGGCTGAGGCTGGGGGCTGGGCTGGCAGGACCCCTTTGCTGATGAGCTCCTGGCCTCCTCCTCGCTGGGTGTGCTGCCTGGGGAAACTGAAGCAGGGCAACTATATCTGCTGCAGGGCCTTGGCCGCCTCCCTCCATTGCTCTCCACCTGCCTGGAGGTGACGTGCACCCCCTGCAGCCCCCCACCCAGCACTGCCGGCCCCTCCCATAGGGTCTGAGGCCGAGCGTGTCCCTGGAGGTTGCAGCCTGCCACCCCTGCCCCCACGTGCATGCCTCCTGGCCCCCAGGCCCATGGCTGTGGTTCCCCTGTCCCTGCCGCGCCCTATAGCCTCACTGTGGGGAGCTGTCCCTCCCATACCCGATTCTCTGCCCCGCGCAGTGCCGCCAGGCCCATACCTTGCCCCTTGGGCTCGCCTGGGTACCTGTGCCATGTACCCTGTCGTGCTGCACCCACCGCTCCCTGCCTACAGCTGTGCCCTGTGCCTGGGCCCCTGCGAGTGGGGCTGGTGTCCCTCCCCTGGCTCCCGGGGGTAACGCTGTGTGTGGTCTCCACATATCTTACTGGGGCCGTCAGGGTGGGCTGAGTCACCCCCACACCCCGCCTGGGCCCAGGGCTGGGCTAGGGGCCGGGGTGGGTGAGTGGAGGACAGCTGATCCCGCACCCCTTAGAGGCCCCTGCTGGGGTGGCAGCAGGCCCCGCAGACCTCAGCCTGCAGAGTGCCCAGCCCTCGCTGTCGCGGTCAGGCCTGGCCCTGGGACCGCCCACCCCGGCTGTCCTTCGTTCCTGGCTGCAGATGGCACCTGGGACCTGACCCCAGGAGCTGGGTCACCTGCAGCTCAGGGATGCAGTGCCCACCCCACCCCCCCGCATTGGTCAGATTCCCACTGCTAGTAGCGACCCAGATGCCAGGGATGGGCATGGCTACCTTCCACGGCCTACGGCCACCCAAGCTGCCAGTTACCGAATGTGAGCGACCGAGGGGGTGGGGCTGGGTGGGGGCACGTTGCGGAGTCAGGGTGGGTGCGGGCTGCTCTTGGGACCACCTGCTCAGCGGGGAGGCTGAAAGCACCCCTCCCCGGTCCATGGTCCTGTAAGGTCCTGACCTGCGTGAGGCTCTGGCTGGGCACCCCATCCTTAGGGACCAGGAGGGGCCTCGAGGGAGGTGTGGAGGGCCACTCCAAGCCCATAGTGAGGACTAGCTCGCCTGCGGGGTCGAAGGTGTTGGGGCAAGAGACCACCACATGCCCTCCCTGGCTCTTGGCCATTGACAGGGCCCAGAGCCTGCACCCACCCTGACCCTTACAGCCTGCCCTGCCTTGTCCTGGTGGGGCCTCCGGTTCAGGCCTAGGCTGGGGTGCTGTCCCTGGTGGGCAGCCAGGCTCGGGGAGGGGCAGCACCTGCCTTTCTGGACAGGACCCGCTGTGGGGCCCTCCTGGCGGCCGACATGGCCTTTCATCTGGGACATCCAAGCTCATCGCCCGCCATGACGGCAGACCCAGGGCGGGGAGCCGCTGAAGCAGAGTGCGCCCATTTTATGGGTGGGGAAGCTGGAGCCCGAGCCGAGGCCAGGCTCCTGTACCTCGGACTCAGCGCCTCCTCCCTCCAGACAGGCCCAGGAGGCAGGGGTGCCCAGCCCATTCCGGAGTGCGTCCTTTGAGGGGCAGACCCAGAGCGTGCACGGGTGGGCTGGGGGGCTCCTGGTGGGGGGCCGGGACCAGCCCAGCCTGTGGTCAAAGGTGAGGAGAGGCTGCCTCGGCTGCCGGGTGTGGGCTTCACCCAGCCAGGCTGGCCAACCTGCCCACCGGGCCCTGCTCTTGACTCACTGGTGAGTCTTGCCTGCTACTGCCCTGCCCGCCCGGCCCTGGCACAGGGGAGGCCGGCAGGGCCAGACGACCAGGGTAGGAGAAGCCTGAGGTGGGTGGGAGTGGGCCGGCTGAGCTGTATGCCTGGGTCCCTGGGCTGCGGCAACTGCCTTAGGCTGCTGCTGGGGGAGCGGCGGCCTGTCCCCAAGGGCTGGGATTGGCAGGGGGAGGGGCAGGAGCAGTGGCCCCACCTGGTCCTGGTCACCGTCACAGAGGTGGTGATGGCCGTGGAGGGGTGACACTGATGGTGACGGCAGTGGCCATGGTGGTGGGTGTGGAGGCATGGGCATTGGTGACAGGGTGGCCGAAGAGAGACGTAGACCGAGTGCAGCCCACTGCGACTCCAGCCTCTGCTCCTGCCTGGCCCCAGGACCCGGCGGGGAGGGGTCCAGGGGTCTGGCACCCCCCTGACCAGCTTTCCGTAGGGGCTGTGAGCAGCTTTCATGGCCCCGAGCCCTGCAGCTCGGGAGTGGCCTGGGGGGCCCCGAGTGGTGGACCCACATAAACGGCAAGGGCTTGTTGCCCAGCGAGGCCCACACTTGCCGGAGCCTGGGGAGGGGCAGCCCGCCAGCCTCCCACGTCCCTGGGCCTTCGTTTCCCCTCTGACGTCATCTTTTACAGGAGCTTATGGTGGGCTCCCACCTGGGACTCCCATGTTCTCCAGAAGTGGCCCCACCTCAGGCCGCCCAGGGCCTCCCCGCAGCCCCAAGGGAGGGGATGATCTGGGAGGGCCGAGACAGGAAGCTGGGTGCTGCCCCAGGCCACTTGGGGTGGGAGCCCCCACAGGAACCCTGGAGGCTGGGCGGGAATTCCTCCTCACTGCCAAGAGCCCGTGAGGATGTGAGGGGGGTCCCTGAGCCCCCACCTTTTGTCACTGGTCACCGAGGTCAGGCCCAGGGTCTGTCCCCTTGGGCGGCACAGGGCAGGGGCAGCATCCTGGCTCTCAGAGCGCAGCAGGGCAGAGGGCCCGAGTGCGGGGGACAGCTGTGTTTCGGGGTGGCCTCCGGGAGGGGCTGGGCGGTGGGGAGCAGGGGTGGAGGCAGCGGGCTTCTCCCAGAGGCCCACCTGGCCAGCCCCCGCTCCGTCCCGCGGCACCAGCCTTAGCCTGGGTGAGACCGCACCCTCTCCAGGCACGGTGGAGGCAAGTGCTGCTCTAGGGGATGGAGCCCGCAGGAGCCTGACAGCTGTGTTTCGGGGTGGCCTCCGGGAGGGGCTGGGCGGTGGGGAGCAGGGGTGGAGGCAGCGGGCTTCTCCCAGAGGCCCACCTGGCCAGCCCCCGCTCCGTCCCGCGGCACCAGCCTTAGCCTGGGTGAGACCGCACCCTCTCCAGGCACGGTGGAGGCAAGTGCTGCTCTAGGGGATGGAGCCCGCAGGAGCCTGTGCGGAGGGCCCGCTGTCCTGCCCCGGCCCAACAGCACTTGTGGGCCATGGGCCGCCCCTGCTCCCCTGGGCCCTCGCCCTGCTTCGGGCGGGTGGGAGGCCGCTGTGCCGGCCTCGAGGGGGGTGTGCTGGGCTCCTCCGGACCCGGGTGCCCTTGGCGCTCTCGTCAGTGCAGGCTGGGTGCTGTCCTTCCTGGATGTAGCCAGCGCCACCAGCCCGGCCTCTCGGGAATGCTGGGGACTCGTGCAGCCCTTAGCAGCCCTCGCTCAGTGCCCCCCAGCTGCAAGCCCTCGTTATTCGCACAGGGTGACCGGTGTTAGGGTGTGCGTGGGTGGGGTGCGTGGAGAGACCTCGCGGGCCCTGCCCCCCATCCCCGTCCCTCTCCTCTGGCTCCTGAGCAGAGGGCTGAGCTGCGGCGGGTACTGGCGGGGAGCGGTGGCCCAGGTGCCCGACCAGCCCAGGACCCCCAAGCAGGGACACCCTGGCCAGCCCCTGACCAGCCCCGGAGGCCGCACCCTGGGAGGCTGAGCAGGGGCGAGGCTGCCAGACTGGGCCAGCGCTGGCTCCGGGTTCGGGGAGAACACAGAGGCTGCGGGGAGGGAGGCAGTACAAGAGGTGGTCCTGGCTGCCTGGGGTGGGTGATGCCAGCTTAATTGCCAGTGTGGCCTGGGCTGGGAGAAGTTACCTGAGAGTCGCCTTTGTGCTGTTGTCACTGTCACCTCAGAGCTCGGAATGTAGGGTGGCTAGGCCTCCTGGCAGTGGTCACCCAGGCCACCCTCCCGCCCGCAGCCAGGCTGTCTCCTGCACCCTCAGGCCTGGCTGGCAGGAGGGCCTGGGGTGGGTGTGGGCTGGGTGTGGGGAGGCTGGGGCTACATCCGCTCCCACCCCAGCCAGGACGGCGCTGCTCCCCATGGCTGGAGGGGACCTGTTTCCTCGGCCTCGTGGTCCAGGTGACAGCATTGTTGCCCTCTGAGTGCCCACATGCCTCTGGGGGCTTCTCCTGGCTGGTGGGGGCAGGGGCTCTGGGCTAGGGCTGCTGAGCCTGCCTCAGTACTGGGGTGCTGTGGCTGCTGTGCCTCGATCTCCTGCTCTGTGGAAGGAGCAGCTGCCTGGCTGTAGCAGAGGCTGCCTCAGCGTGGGCCTCCTGGGTCGGGAATAAACCTGTCCTGACTCCGCGGCGGGATGGGGCTGTATTTTTCACAGCCGCAGTGCTGTGCGGGGAGGCAGAGCCACCTGGCAGAGGGCGACGCTCTAAATCTCGTGCCTGGCACTCAGGTGTGGGCCTGGCGGTGCAGGCATGCACTGGCTGGCATCTTTATGAGGCAGGACGTGCTCAGCCGAGAGCCCAGGGCGGGCCGGGCGTGACTCAGTGCCCAGTGCTCGCAGCCGTCTCCGTTCAGAGCTCGGCGCAGGCCCGGCTCCAGGCTGAG